TAATGCCTCAATTCTATATCCAAGTGACTGTACGTAAGTCTTCACGACAAATGCATCTTCTTACGTTGCTTGGGTCCAGGGGCACCTGGGTGGCTCAGCTGGTCGAGCATCCAACTCTTGATTTCATCTCAGGTCATGATCTCAGCTCATGTCATGATCTTGGGGTCCTAGAATTGAGCCCTACATCAGGCTCTACACTCAACTGGGAGTATGCTTGAGGATTCTCTTTCTCCCCCAGGGCCCCCCGACTCTATGTTGCCCAGCTTAGAAATGAACACCTCTTCGTGAAATAAATATTCATAGTTTTTTTCAGCCAATTTCAGGAAAATTTCATGAGCTCGGGTGGGGGTTAAAAAGCAAAATACTTGAGAGAGAGACAAGAGACCTGAAACCATCACTAAATAATCCTATAACCCTGGGCATATACCTATTCTCCTTCCATTTTCCCATTTGTATGGTGATGGTAATAATACCAGTTCTGTTTGTTTTGAGTTGTTTGGGAATTAAGTGAAAGAACCCATGAAGGCACGTTGAGTGATGTGAACTGCTAGCTCAGGGGAATATTCTCGTTGGGTGAGAGCCTGGACTCTGTAGTCAGACTGCCCGGGTGCAAGACCAGTGCGTCCCCTGGCCTAACCACATGACCTGCAGCACATTAGGAACTCTCTCTGATGCAGGTTTTGCTCATCTGAGATTTGAGAGAAGGAACAGTGCCTGTTTGTCAGGCTGCTTTGAGGATTAAGGTGCCATTTGAGGAGTGCCAGGCAGACATGAAGGACTCTGTATGCTACTATTATTTGGTTACCTTCCATTTGGTTTTTAAACACATTTTCCAGACTCTGGACACAGGCCCTACATATGTATGAACAAAATTAGTAGTGCTTCAGAAAAACCTGAAATGCATCCCTTGTCCCTGTCCATAAGTGATCAGACTCGAGGCAATGGCTGCATAGAAGCATCCCAGAGAAGAAAGTTTCTGGCCTGATTATAAGACAGAATTACTCATTAGACCTTTTCTGGGCATCTTGTAAGTGGTAGGTGCTGAGAGTGAAAATAAGATGTGGTGGTTGGCCTCTAGGAGATCACAAGGATGTGGGGCAGGGAGAGACAGTAGAATGTGCTGTGAGTACTCCAATGGAGCTGTGGATAGTACATGGTAGGAGGGAGGGAGAACCGGGGGGGACCCTGGATAGACCAGGGGAGTCTCAGGTGGAGGTGGGAACAGGTGCTCAGCAGGTGCAGAGAAACCTTGACTTGCTGCTCAGGGAGAAGTCAGAAAGCTTCATGCTATTAAGTTGCATCTTACAGAATGTGTAGGCATTTTCCAGAAGGAGGCTGTGGGGAAGGGCATCCCACTGACCTGTCCTCCTTCTGTAAGGTGGTTGCTGCCAGGTGGATCTCCAACAAGGGCCATGGTAGGGTTTCTGAGTTATTTCAAGTCTCGGGATCTATACACCCTCTTTTGTGGAAAACATAGAGCCTATCATGCAGCTCTCCCTTCACTGCAGTGGGGTTTAAAGCTCTGCTGTCCAACACGGCAGCCACGCCACATATGTGGCTCTTTACACCAAAATTAATTAAAATTAAATGAAATTAAGGGTTGAGTCCCTCTATCATACTAGCTACATTTCAGGTCCTCAGTACCGGAGGGCCAGCTCAGGCATTGCATTGCCACAGAAGTGTGTTGAATAGCACAGTCCTCGAGTGTGCCCTGGCATCACACAGAGAAAGGAATGGGACATTTCTGTCTGCTCCCTCCCAGCTCCTGCTGTTGGGAACCTCCAGGCTGGGTGCTCAGGCTCTCAGGGGTGGTAGGCAGCTCTGTCCAGGCTCTTCAAGAGTCAGAAGCTGCCCGGTAAGAACTCGTGCAGCGACACCTGCTTTCTTCTGGACTGGGATGGTTCTGGCACCCCCTGCCCAGATTCAAACGGAGCAGTGCTGGGGGAAGATCTGTCTTTTCAAAGTAATTGAAATGAAATGAAGTCAAAGGAAACTTTTTATTTACCCTTCATCGCTGGCACGGAAATCCTCCTGTGAACTCACAGAGGCTTGGTTCTTACAATATGCGTGAAGAGAGCTGGTCAGAGGGAAGTTGCCTGGAGGCGTCACTGCCTTTAGGGGGAGGATGAAGGCCACTGCTTCAGAATTCTAGAGTCACGCACCCGGCTAAGGAGACTGCTCAAGTCCGCAGCCATTAGTACTTGACACTAGATTTTGGCTTTGCGGTCGAGAACTCTCTTCGCAGGCGGACAAAGCTCCCTGCTTGGCACCAATCGTAGCCTCCCTGCCTTCGTGGAATCACGGTTGTGCGTGGACAAGTATCAGATGAGCCAGACGACGTTCTCTTCAGGAATGATAATCCTGTTGTAAAGCAGAAAGAGCGAAGCGTGGTTTCCACAGCACTTCACCTCTGAACCTCAGAACCACGGTATTCGAGCCTCCATTAGGACTTATGATTTGCCACAAAATCATTTTATTGTGTTCTGGTGTCTCTGGAAATTACACAGTGCCCAGATCTATGGGGAATGGGTAATATTACAGTTTGAGATGCTTTCGGGAAGTTTGATTTACAGCTACTGTCTGATCTGATTTTAGGAAGAATTTAACCTAACAACCCAGGTTCGGTTATAATTTTCCAGAATAGCTTTCGTTTTGGGAATCTAAATCCATCTGGATAACATGCTAAGGTTATAATATCTACCCCATCTGTTGAAGTAACTTGGAATTTCAGAGTTAGGCTGTCGGTAAGTCTGGAAGAAGAGAGAAATCTTTCTTCCAGAATGCTGCTGCTCCTTCACTCACCTCTGAAGGGCAGTTTTCAGTGTCAGTGAAAAATATCCCTGTCTTTATAGACAAATGCAGAGTCTTGAAACTTCAGTCACGTTTAGTCCCTGGGTAGGCTGCTTACCTGCTGCCTTGCTTCAGATTATGGTTGTCATCTGTCATTTATCAATAGGGTCAGGTGTGATTAGAAAGGTAAAATGGGCCAACAGAAGCAGCGGTCCGTATCTGTTGGATCTTAGATGGGCATCATTTGAGCACCTGAAGTGGACGGTACAGCAGCTGACCCACGAGGCTCACTCACTGCCAGCGGTGCCTGCAGTTTCCACTGGCTCGAGTCTCATCAGGGAAAGGGCAGAAAGGTAGCAGGTGGTGATGGAGCTAATGCATGAGCATCATGGTAACCTTGCTGGGCTTGGATCGGTAGACCTGGAGGCCCTAGAAGAGAGGCCATGGCTCTTTTGTTTCAGGGGCATTCCCTATCTGTGCAACACCCCCAGTTCTCATCCCTGTGTTTCACTGGAATTGAGCTACACAGAGTTGGGTTTGAGGTGCCAGCCCTGGGGCCTCCTGAAATGTACATGGGAGAAGAGAAGACAGAGGAGCTGGTTGGTAGGTCTTGGCTAGGAGAGAGTGGGTGATTTTTTTAATCCCCTCTTTATTAAAGGTCTACTTAGAAAAAAGAAAATAGAGATTTTTTTTAAAAAATGTATTGAGAGAGAGAGGGAGAGCAGGTATGAGAGCAGGGGGGAAGGGGAGAGGGAGAGAGAATCTTAAGCAAACTCCACACTAAACACAGAGCCCAATGTGGGGCTTGATCTCGTGATCCTGAAATCACGACCTGAGCCGAGATCAAGAATCAGATGCTCAACTGACTACATTACCCAGGTGCCCCAGAAAGCAGCGATGCTTTCATCTGATGTCATACTCTGGATAATTAGGGTTCAATTCTCAATTAACTTTACTAATAACAAGACTAAAGGGCTATAATGGTCCATCCATTGCCTTTTCACCATGAGGTTCTTTTACTAAGATACAGAGTATCAGCATGGAGCTAACCCTGAAACAGAAGTAAGAGCTTCTATCTGCCGTGGTGAAAGGGATCACGGGGAGAATTCTGCTCCTCCTCCCAGATCCGAACCCGCTGATTAAGTGAATGACTTCACCATCTCTCCGAGATGTGTTGGCGCACTCTCTGCAGGTCTCACCATGTCACTGATTCATCTGATGAACTGCAACAGGACTAAGAAGGGAAATTGGGAATAGGAGTGAAACCTCATGAGTTTGGACTAGTTGGGGGGAAAGGCTGGTCTGAATTAGTGTGAATTCATGAGGCTTCTAAAGTGTGTATCCACACACACACACACACACACACATACACAAAACTTCATGTAAATGAAGAGTTTCATCTTGAATATATATGAAGACAAACATATATGAAGACATAAATATATGAGCACATGTATATCCATATATACATACGTGTACATATTTTTATTCCTTTAAATGCCACTGAAGCATCACTTAGGAGTATAACCCAGTAGAGAGTAACCCAAGTAGAAAGACTTGTAGACCTGGGTCCCTCCCGGTTCTGTTATTAACTTGCTGACTCCTAGACCAGGCCCCTCGGCTCAGCACAACTGATGTTTGGGTCAGAGGATTCTTCATAGGTGAAGCTGCCCGTGCGCTGTCGGATGTTTAGCAGCATCCCTGGCCTCTCTGGGAGCCCGTCGCCGCCTCTGCCCGTGACAACCAAAAATGTCTCTCAGATATTTCCATACGTTGTCCTGGTGGAGAACCACCGTCTAAGACCATATAGGAAGATGCTCCAGGCCACAGAGTCCCCAGAAATAAACTGAGGAAGACGCCTTCCCGTCCCCTTCCAGATGGAATGCTTCCAGGACACCTATAAAGGGTCCTGCCAGACCCAGAAGCCGCCTAACACCCGCGGTGGTATAACGGGGGGCGTAGGCGGGAACGTATTCCGAAGGCTAAATCTTGACGCTCTCATTTATGTTACCCATTGGCCGCTGTCAGCCGCCCTGCTCGCCCAGTTACTGAATGCCAGGAGATGAGTGATACTGTAGTATATTCTTAAGAAGTCCAAAATGGACTTGAAGTTGCTCTTACTTTTTCCTAAACTTTATGCATGCAGCTATATTAACTGAAGACAGTTCTGGAAATGATTTGGCTAAAATACCTGCTTTTCTGTCCTGCAGGGATCCTGACATTAAAGAGAGCGAATGAGCTTCTGAGCGCTTGCATGCCGGGCAGTTTTCTGGTCCGCATCAGTGAAAGGATCAAAGGCTACGCCCTGTCCTATCTGTCCGAGGATGGCTGTAAGCATTTCCTCATAGACGCCTCCACGGACTCCTACAGCTTCCTGGGCGTGGACCGGCTACAGCACGCCACCCTGGCCGCGCTGGTGGACTACCACAAGGTGACCCGGTGTACAGGCTTGACTTGCTCTGTGAATTGTTGTCCCACAGCAGCTCTAGCAGTGAAAGGCAACTATAAGAAAAGAGATTGAGACGAGTAATGGGGGATTAGTGTCTGATAATTCTTCCGGATAATCAGGACTCTTAATTACAATTCCTTTATCGTTGAACCTAGTTCTTCCTCGGATACTCAGGGAGAATGCACTGGGGCCGAGAATGGAGGAGATGCTAAAAGCCTGTGCACACGCTGATCGCAACTGAGGCCACACTTAGTGAGAACTCAAGCCTGGGAGGGAAAGAGGGTACGTGGCAATTTGCAGATGAGAAAATCTCTTCTAAGATTGCCATAAACTGATAAAGCTTCATGTAAATCAAGGGCAAATAGGAAGTTGTGTGCTCCGAGGAGGCAGGGAAGGGCATGACCTTCTTATTTCTACTGTCTCGACAACCTGCCCACCACAGCACAGCCTGATCTCTGCCTTCTGATTCACAGGTGGAGCCCATAACCTCCCTGGGGAAGGAGCTCCTCCTCTACCCCTGTGGTCAGCAGGGCGAGCCGCCGGATTACCTGGAGCTCTTCGAGTGACAGCGTCCCCCGTGGTGTCCTGCGCCCTCCAGCTGGGCTTTCCTCTGGGTTAATACTGCTCAGACCTGTGCGTGTGAGGCCAAAGTCAGCCTGCAGCAGAGCCAGCACTGACCAACGGGCAAGTGTCCTTGGAGCCCCGTGGAAATCTCTCTCCTGTGCAGATGCTGGAGTTTAACGTTAAGAGAAAATTACCTCTGCATCATATTCGCTCCGAAAGTAAAGGGAGACGATCCCCAATTTCAGCAACTACCTAACGTGAAGGATACAACCTTAATGATGTATATAAAATGAACAAAGGAGAAATTGAAACCTCTTAGGAATTAAGACATACTTCAAAAACCAATACCTCCCGTGAACTGTTTTATGACCTCTACGTTCCCTCTTTGCATCATTTCGAAATGTCTCAGGACTGTGTTTATATTAAGTTCCATGTTGGCTTTGGGGAGCTGGCAGAAGAGCCTTCACGGGTGGTCTGCAAACACACTTCATTTATCATGCATGTTGGAGCCAGGATGTAAGGAAGAGACATAGAAAAACAAAAGTTGGGAATGCAAATTGAATGAGGAGTTAAAACTGTAGGAGGAGAGGCTTCACGCATCAGGAAATACTGCGGACTCTAGGGGAGTGAGCACGTTTTCGAGTTTCCTCGTTCTGGAGAGCGGGACAGTGCTCGCCTTGTGTACTCTGGCTCGGTCCGGGAGCGCACCACGAGGTGAAGCCGCGCACACCCGAGGTGCTCTCCATCAGTGCTCACGCCCCAGCACAGGACACCTGTAAAGGGTCCTACCGGACTCAGAAGCCATCTAACCCCCATAGGTTCCCACCTATGCCCACCTTGTTCTGGGATGGATGGTGTCCCCGGGAAGACAGGCTGAAGTCCCCAACCCTGGTACCTGCGAATGTGACCTTAGCTGGGAATAGGGTCTTTGCCGATGTGATCAAGTGAAGATGAGCTCCTCCAGCATCTGGCCTCCTTAACGAGGAGAGCGGGATTGGGAGCCAGAGACCCACAGGGGCGAGGCGGCCTTGGGACCACAGAGGCAGAGACAGGTGATGCGGCTTCAAGCCAGGGAAAGCCAAGGCGTGCAGGCCTCCCTCACAAGCCAGGATCCTCCCTGGAGTCTTAGAGGGGCATGTGGCCTTGCTGACACCTTGGTTTCAGACCTCGAGCCTCCAGATCTGTAAGAGAATAAATGACTGTTGTCTTAAGCCACTGAGTTTATGGTAATTTGTTACAGCGACCCTCAGAAACTCACACAGAGGATCCTTACAGAACCTGATGGGTGCTACATACCGTTTGTGGCTGCACAGCCGGCCCTCCTGAGAATAAAGGAAGAGGGGAGAGAAGAGTAAGCTCCCACCGGCTCTGTTCCGCTCTGGGATGCAGGTTTGCTCGGTCAGGAATCCTATGCCCTCTGCGTCTGCACCGCCAACCCCCAGCAGCTCTCGGGCCGGCCCAGCCAGGGGGTCGCCTGTGGGCAGTGACCCAGGGTGCTGTGAACCCCAGAATCGTCTTCTGGGAAGGTGGAGGCTCTCTTGTACCCCGGCCTACTCCCTGCCACAGCTGTTTTTCAAAGGAAGCAGACATTGTGGCAGTTTGTTCACGAGGTTGCTGGTTGTGTAGCCCTCGCAGGCTGTGTAAAACGTAACAGGAGAAGAGGGCGGTGTACGTATGTATGTGGGAGTGTGTATGGGTGCGCGTGTGTGCTTTCATGAGAAAGTTTTTAAACACCCATCATGGTGAAGTGATTCCTGAAATACCCCTTGTGTTTCTGTAGTCTGAAAGACACCTGTCAATGAGACATTTGTCCAAGAGGACCTGTGTTCAGCTGTCATTTCTAACTGTGATTCAACAGCCATGACATTTTAGAATTGCAGAGACCCAACAGGACCCACATCTTCCCACCATTCCCTCTCTGAGCTGAGGTTTTCACTTCTAATAAAAAAGGTATTTTCCTCTAATTGAGATGTCCTTGACATTTAACCTTAGTTTCAGGTACAACATAACGACTTGACGTGTGAACTGACTGTCAAATGATCACCATTTTAAGTCAAATGATCACGCACCACCTTACAAAGTCACGAGATTTTTTTTCTTGTGATAACTTTTAAGCTCTACTCTCTTAGCAACTTTCGAATATGCATTCTAGCGTTATCCACCGTAGTTATCACGCTGTACATACCCATGACTTATTGATTTTGTAACTGTAAGTCTGTACCTCTTCACTCCCGTCACCCACGTAGCCCCCCACCCCAACCCTCCTTCCCTCTGGCAATCACCAATCCATTCTCCGCATCCATTTATTGTTCTGATTGCACATGTAAGTGAAACCATAGGGTATTTGCCTCTCTTTGACTTATCTCACTTAGCATAACGCCATCAAGGTCCATCTGTGTTGCAAATGGCAAGACCTCATTCTTTTCTATGGCCGAGTAATATTCTATCGTGTACACACACCGCCTCTTTCTATCCGCTCATCTACTGATGGACACTGAGGTGGCTTCTGTCATCTTGGCTACTGTAAGAAATGCTGCAGTGGACCTAGGGGTGCATGTATCTCTTTGAATTGGTATTTCCGTTTTCTTTGGAAAGAAGAGTTGCTGGGTCACATGGTAGTTCTATTTTAATTAAAAGAAGGTGCTTTTACTAGCTGATTTTTATTAATTTCATCCAGTTCTGAAATCTTAAGTTCTGAAATAAATAGAAAAGTACCCTATAGTCACTCATCGTTATGAAGACTTATGATTCCCTCTGCCTAAGACGATTTTGGAGGAAGTAAGTACAGTCCTATCCAGACGTAATGACACTAAGTAACATCCTACTGTGGGATGACTTAGTAAGCGGGAAAAGACCTGACTGAATTAACAAGGGGGAGCAGATCTGAGTTCTGTACTGTTTGATGATACGACGGCCAGCAGTGCTACCTGAAATTCTTAGGGAGGGAAAAGGGTACAGAATTCAGAAAGTGATTAAAAGCAAATGGGGTTGAGGAAGCCTGAATTCTCATCCTAGCTCAACTATTAGATACAGCCTCTGGGCTTTCCTTCTTGCCCAGAGTGTGGTAAGAATGTTCACACTGCACCCTGGGGGTCTCTCTTTCAGAAGGCAAGTCTCTACAATTGCGTCTTTAAAGAAGACACCTGTCCCACTGATGAGGGAGCAGAAGGCTGGCTGAGGACAAAGCAAAAGGCTGACACCTCACAATCTCCCCCTCACCCCCACCACTCCTGGGTGGGACAAATGTGACATTCTTTAGGAATCTCCCAACTATCTTGATATTAATGGCTTGCTGAAAAGGAAAGACAACCTTGATCAAACCGCAAGACCTCCCATATCCTGGCACCTTGTAGGCCCTCTTTAGCATACGAAAGCTCCGTTGAAACCTCCCTTTCCCTCACCTTCCCCCAACTGCGTGGTACATAACCTGCCACCTCTCACAACCCGGGGCAGCAGCTCTTCCTGCCCACGGGTCCTGTCCCCGTACTTTAATAAACCACCATTTTTGCTCCAAAGATGTCTCAAGAATTCTCTCTTGGTCATCGGCTCGGGACCTCACCCCACCGAACCTCACCTAGGTTCTAGAACTTCATCACGACAACTTGCGCTTTCCCTTCCTCAGGAGTGGCCACAAATCCGAGTTGCACATCTCCCCTCTGCTTTCCATTTGTGTGATCTCCTCCCCATCCTTTTCCTCTCTCCCTCCCTTTCTGCCGCATTCTCTGAGAGCTTCTCATCGCCTTCCCTTCCGCATCACAGACTCGACATCCTGCCGTGTTATTTCTTCTCTCACTGCCCCCACTGTGGACGTGAGCGTTCTATTTCCAGTGCACTTGCCATGCTTCCTTCTGTCCTCTGCCTCATCCTCACGCTTCCTACCGCTGCCCCAGATTGAAAATGCTCCGGAGCCTGACAGGACAATAGTGCTTTTTATTGTGTGGTAAAAACACACTGTTGGGTCACGAGTGAGCTCAGCATAGTAGAAAGTCTAGCAGGTCTGGGGTTGGATCCTGGCTATATCACTAACCAGCAGTGTAGTTATTTTTTTAAAAAGGTTATTTATTTATTCATTTGAGAGAGAGAGAGAGAGAGCACGAGTCAGAGGGAGACGGAGAAGCAGATTCCCCGCTGAGCAAGGTTATCCACGCAGGGTTCCATCCCAGGACCCCAGGATCATGACTGGAGCTGAAGGCAGACGTTTAACTGACTGAGCCACCCAGGTGCCCTCTAGCTGTGTGGAATCTTAAAAGAACAATACTAAGCTTGTCTGAGCTTCAGCTCTCAAACAGGAGAGACTCAAGTCACCCATTGGATTCCAAGGCTTAGAAAAGAAACACATAAAGTCTCTTGGGTCCAACAAAGCCAGGATTCGTGCACTCTGTGCTCCCATCATGAGCTCAGCTTGTATAACCCATGGGCTGTGCATGCCAATGGCCCATTTGCTAGAGCTTCTGGGATGAAATCTTCAGGGGGGAAGGGAAGCTTGTTGAGTAAGGGTTATACTAGGGAATCACACAGTAGATTAGCCAGTTGGAATGGCTTGCAGAGAGACGGCTACCTTAGTCTGGATTAGAAATGGCAGAGAGAGGGCATTCTCTTAATGTCGAATTTTGACAACCCCAAAGTTAGCAGTGACCCGTCTTTACCCAAAATTGGTCATTGACAAATTGATTCAGTTGTTCAGGAATTCCTGATCACAAATCCCCAAGTATTCACCTGCCTTTTTGACCAGAGGATTTACCACAAACCCAAATCCCTCTGGGATTAAATGCATTGTCTCCCAAATAGGTTAGCTCCTGCCAGTGCTAACCCAGACTTATGTGGGGGAGGGGGCGTTTAGCCCCTGCTCTCCGGTCAGTCTAAATCAGCTTTTCTTTTCCTTCAGCTAAAAGGATGTTCCTTCCAGCTGGGTCAAGATGCTGGTAGGCAACACCACAAGGCCCCTCAACAACCACACCGAACAGCACGTGCTGTACCTTATCTCGTGCAGGAGCTCTGGGTG